TGAGATTCACCATAATCATCAAAATTTAGGTACCCAGCTCAGGTAATCCTGCAGGCTTCCACTGTACCTGATGTTCAGACTGAGGCAGTTCCAGAACACTCTTTAAATCCACCTTAGGATGCTCTAATCAGACAGCATAAATCAATTTATACAAATTGCCTTTAGCAGAGCCTGGTTGGCTCCTTTAGGTCACTTTATCAGTGGGTAAAGTCAGGAACTGGGAATTACACTCTGAGTGAATTTCCATCATGTTGGATCCTCAGCCAAAAAGAACTGGAGTGAGATGCAGAATCAATACCTGAGCAAACACCAACTGTGAACTGGAAGCAATCCCTCTGGCTCAGTAAATCCTGCAGCAATCCCTCAAGACAAGTGCTGTCCTAAATTAACTGGCTTTGCTGAGTTTTTAGCATCACCTGGATGTGCTGCTACAGGTCACAAGTACTCAGTTGATGCTTCTCTTAAATTTCATTGTGCTTGCAATGCAGACATGCCACGAGAAGCTTTCACTTCACTTAGGACCAGGTTAAAAATTAGGCTCCAGGCATAATAAGCCAGAAAACCACTTTTAGAAGAAAGGTTCCCACCAGGCTATGCAAACTGATTCAAGCTGGATTTCACAGACATCGAATTTCACGGATGAATTCCTGTGTCATTTCATACCCTGGCTCCATCCTGCTCTGGAATGCAGTGGTGACAAGCATTTCTCTTCTGGGCCTGACCTGACAACCACGTGCTTTCTGCCATGGGCACGTGACACGGGCTAACAGCTTCACTCACAGTGCCACAGGGAGATCACAGTGTCCTCTGGGAGCAGCAGGGGATGCTTCCCTCTCAAAAGCAGGAGTTCAACTTGTCAAAGGAGGACACAGTAAGATTTTGGATCTCCTGTCTGAGGTGGACCTAAGGTGAGGCTCGTGCTGAGCTAAAAGAATAAAGACTCCCAGCTGCTGAGCCAGGGGAGTTGTGACTCCAGCCCTACTTAAGGTTTTTGTTGACTTTAAAATACCACATCATTTTTATATTACTGTGGATCTGCATAAGGACCACAACAAGAGTCAGAGCCTCTGAAAACAGTGGCATGTGCAGCCTTGACCCCAAAAATCCATCAATTTACAAGGAAGGACAAGTAAAATGACCAAAACTTTGCATTTCTCACACAGACTCCGATCCCACACGTGCATCACGAACCTACCTGAGACTTTTAAATCAAAAACAAGGCTGTCATCTCCAATTTTGCACGTGTAAGTTCCTTCATCTTCCTTTGTCACAGCCGAAGCCACGAGCTTGTGCAGCTTTCCTTTATCCTCCAGGGTGAATTTCTTGCTGGCTGTGATTTCTTTCCCATCTTTGTACCACTTCACCATGACATTGGCCTCGGAGGTCTCAGAAACAAATTCAGCCTGTTTCCCAGTGATGGCCTTGACAAGTCCTCCACTTTTCTCTTTGTTTATGAAGTTTGCAAGTGCTGAAACAAAATAACAGACACAGAGCTCTGACAAAGAATTGTGTGCACACCAATAAATAAGAACATTTACATCTGCATTAGGTATTCATTTATCCTAAGTCCAAACTGCATGTTTAATTATGGATCTAATTGCTAGATTCCAATGCAGGAGCAGCCAAATTTCCATTCATATTCCTGATTATCATGTGTCCAAAAAAACCAGAGCACATATCCAACACAGGAGGAGAGGAAGCCCCAGGCAATAGGGCTTAAAGGTAATATCTGAGACGTGATGAGAAGAAGGAAAAGAAGGAAAAGAAACTGGAGGGAAAGCCATGAAACTTATTCAGTCATTGTACTGTAACCACCTGGCAGATAAATCAGCTCTAGAAGAGGTTAAAATGTAGTCTAGATAAAATAAATTACATTAAATTAAAAATATATCTAGATATGTCATAGGACTGAAATGAAATTTATTCCTGGAAATTAACTGGAGCATAGAAAATAAACAATAATTCTGGCATTGTATTAACATGTAGTGAAATAATTGAGTCACCAATTGCCTCAAAGCAAAAGATTC